TTACAAGTTATTTAAACAATAATTCTCACCCATTACACTAACAATGTTAAAAATGCAGTTTGAGGTGCAGTATATGGATATCGTAAAAAAATATCTGATCGACAATCTAGGGAGCAGCACTGCTTGTATATTTCATTATTATATCTTATATAACTAGTTTTTTTATAAAATCACACATTTCCTCTGTTGTGAATTGCTAGAATATAATTTTTTTTTTGAAATTGCATATATTTCTGTTAGTACCTTCATGTGGTTTAAAAGGCAAAAATACTCTTTGTTTTATTTCCCACGCGTACCGGCGGAGGAAGTATTATAATTGCAAATAAATTCGAAAATCAGATATTATGTTTTTTGTATGTTATATGACATGTACATCACGAAAAACTATTTCACACAAAAATTAATAAAATTTCGGTTTTCGACTGTTTAGGGGAACCTGATCATTTTTAAAAAAATGTTTAGAGGTGAAAAATTGTGGGGTGGAGTATTATAGCGGACGGGGAAGCTTATCTGTTTTTTATATTAGTATATTAACATACCTCCAGCCCCAGTAATTCTGCTCACCTATTAGACATATTTCACACATCATAGATTTGCCCTTAAAACATGGGGAAATATTGTCAGCAGACCTTCTATCGGTCGCACATGCCGTACACCGTGGGGTTCCAAAAAGGACATCCAACCCCCCAAACCGATAAGCGAGCTTGATGTTATGCATGATGTCTGTCGTTTTCTGATGTACCAGACACACCGCACTCGTTCATCGTCCAGAAAATGCCAAAGTTCTTCTACAATGTGTAAATCCACCCAGAATATTGTTGTCATAACACACCGCTTAATTGTTATGCAATCTTCGACTAAAATGCTGCAATGTGCATTGTTTATGGATCTGAAATACATCATTTTTGTCGAAGATTGCATAACAATTAACAGGTGTGTTCCGACAACTGTTTTGGGTGGGCTTTCGTGTTTTCGGAGGACTTTTGCATGTTCTGGACGGTTGACGAGGGTGACGTGACGAGTACATTAAAAAAACGATCTCGATGGGCGTACACCTTTACCCTTTTTAACGATTCTTTTGTTTTATTCCTTGAAAGTTTTCATGCGTTAAAAGGCACATGCCATTTAGACAAGATGAACACTTCAAGAAATTAATAAATATTATAATCTTCAAACGTATCCTTCGTTCCGTTATTATCAATGCAGATTTTATCTCGTATCCTAAGCTCGAGGTTCAAAAATCTCTTCGCAAAATGCGAGGTTAGATGTCGGATCAAAAGAACAACGGATGAACATCTGTAATCCGTGTTGCAGATCAATAGCATGTATCATTATTAAAAGCCAATTAGTAACGAATCTCAATTAACATTTTTTCACCTCGCCACCGTCAAAGAGAAATCACTCGCATGCATCTAATCGGAAAAACCGGAGAAGGGAAAAATACGATTATTATGAATAATTATGAATTTGATCTGTTGTGAGGAGAAAAACGAACAAGGTGCATCTATTAACGATGATGGCCAAATCGATTGAGATTTAGTGTTCTGAGATAACGCGCAGCAAGGTCAGATAGCAGTGCTTCTATGGGAACTGCAGGTGACGGACTATGCAGTAAGCATTCTCTTTGAAATGTCTTGTTGGAAGAAACGAGAAAAATAAAAGCTTCGTTTTTGTGTTAAATGTGGTTTCAATTTTGCTGAAAAGAATGGTTCAGATCATGTAGGTTGTCTGTTTGTTTCTAACAACCTTCCTGCAGTGCTTTTTCCGATTCACGTATCTCTAGGCAGTTCAAAATCTGATCAGCAATATACAGGGTTTCCATTTTATTCTTCCCACCTAAATATTTCGAAAACTGCTTATTCTAAATGAAAAGGTTTCAAATAAAAGTTGTAGGGTTTCGAGGGGACAAAATGATGGTGATCTTGATAATGACCTTGACCACGATATTGAATGCCTTTCACATCGGAATTGAAAAGAGGAGGAAATCTTACGTCCTAACATCATCTTGCCGTGATCAATCGAAAAGAATTTGCTATAGCGAAAATGTTCGACATCACAGTTGTGAGGTTTGGGAGGAGCACCATGACATTGACTATCGAGGTCAAATCAAAATTTCCAAACGAACCTCTCAGTTTTTTGCCGGAAATGGAAACAGCAGGAAATTTTACGTCCTTATGGGACCTTGACCTCAGATAACATTGAACCTTAACACGACCTTTGCATTGAGGTTAAAGTCACATTCATACGAATTCCCTGCCTTTTCGCTTTCCAGATTTAAAATGAGAGATTGCCTTAGGGAATTCTGACTTGACCTAGAAGGTCATGGTCACATCTGGGTAATCTCTACTTACCTCACAACTTTGATGTCGAAGATTTAAACTAGAGCAAACTATTTTCAACGTCTTGATTGGACCTTGAAATGGCCTTGAAGGAAATAGTCAAAGTCATGGTGATGGACATATTCGAACTCAAAATGTACCCCTCTTTTCAATTGCGAATTGGGGTTCTATTTGACCTTGAAATTGTGTTAAAGGTCATGATCAAGCTCATTGTCAAGGTCACCTATATGTGGCTCCCTCAAAACCCTATAATTTTTGTGGAAACTTTTTTCTAGGATGCGTAATTTTCGAAATATTTAGAGGGGGATATGCAGCGCCTCATAATACTTCACCGGGATGCCATGTCGAAGTGGCCAGCGTTAGTAGTCAAAGTAACCTGATAAGGCAGCTCCTTGACGGGGTGACTGGTAATGACTAGTAATCGATATTTCAATATAGGTCTTCTTTTTTTCTCTTTCTTATATATATTTCCTTTGAGAAAATAAAAAAAAAACACCTTCGTATCTATCACTTGGATGAAATCTCGTCTTCTAAATCGGGTGCGTAGATTCCGAATCCGACGTCGACTTGACGCTAGCACCCACTGGTGGTCCAAAATGACTGATTTTCTTCCTGAAATTCACATTCAGAGCCCCGAATTACCTAGGTGAACAAAGTTTCATTCGCTTGTAACAACAGGAAACGAAAATTGAAATTTTGCCCTAAAGATTCCTAAACTTTTTCGGTCAGCCTTTTTTTATTTGCATATAAAATTGATGACTCTGAGAATGCAGTTCTCGCGTATCCATGATTTATGGTTAACACAATTACGTACTTCCGGCTTAGGTGTGATTACATTTGCATTGTTGTGATTAAATTCCATCGCGAATCTTAGCTAATCAAATACTTATTGTGCATTTCGCTCATAATTGGTCTTATTAAACAATTTAAACGTTATTTTTCTCGTACATAGTCATTAAAAGTGTAATCTACACGAGTAGTTTTATCTAGATTCACCAAAACACTGAGGCTGTCTAGCTTATTTCCAAATTAGATACATACAAACTACCAACATAGAAAGGATGTGTTCTGAATTTGGGAAATGTTCGTTCCAAAAAGTCTTGTGGAAATCTAGCAACTAATACTTCATGAAATCGTACACATGCAAACTTAGCTTGTTAAGGGTTGAAAATGATTAGTACACCAGTGGATATGCAAAAATTCATAAGAGGCCTGATTTGTGATTGCATCTTCCAAGCCAAAAGACAACTTATCGATTATACTTGCAAATGCATGTGCGCGTGGTAAAAAAAACATTCGATCTCTTGTAGACGGTGAATGCAGTTGGACCTTAAAATTTGCATATTTAACCCTCTGGGAAAATTTGCTACCCCCGATTTTAATAAAGTTTTTGGAGCAGGTACATTTTCAGAAAAGTTATCTCGTGCCGATAACCGCTCCCTTGTGAGAAAAATTCATGCGGGCGCCCATGTTAGAAAGGCTTATATTTTGAAGACCTCCAAAATATTTATCTTGTAAATGGTACATAGGAAATAAACAGCAGCAACCTTTTATACCCAGAATTATCTCCACAGTTATTTAGTAAGACACAGGTAATATGGAGGAATGAGCCTTCAGCTACCTTTTAGCCCTTTTGAAGTATTTTGTCTCTATTTCCTGGATTATGGTTCTATGGTGTTACCATATAGACATGCATAAGCACGTGAGCTGATGTTACAAGTTTCGAATCAAAGTTCAGGTAGCGAAAAGATGTTGTGGAAAACTTTAGCCGCACTTGCTAGATGTTAGCGATTTTATTAGAATGTCAAGGTTGTTTATATTTATGTTTATACCTGCTAGGCAGGTTCGGCTCTTCCGATAATCTTCAGCTTGTATTCCTCCCACACATGTTTATTCCTCGTATTAACTCATCTTCAGTACAATGCGACAATACCAAGATAAATAGCTAGTTTCAAGAGTAACCAGCAATAGTAGTAATACAATTGGGTAGGATTTTCCGAAAATAAGCTTTCTAGTCTAAGGGATGACGACCGATGACGGTGCACTTTGTATAATAAGCAGGCATGTTTCTAACCTATTTTAAATCATTTGATTCCCGATCTTTTCCCTATAAAAATTCATAGTTTTCTACCAGGGAGTTGGACGATTCTAAAAATGAACTTGGGAGAAACTTCAGAGTAATGAAGTACATTTTTGAAGTTTCAGGAATTTTACTTGGGGAGTACATTTTTAAATTTTAGTTTATTTAATCAACTCAGCAGAGTTACTACCCGGTAGTGCTTAACAAATTGTCATACTTCAATAGTACAAAGTTCTGTGGTTCCTTCATAATATTCGAAGTTCAATCTTGCCTAGCTGAACTTTGTGTACAAGTTTCAGGCAGTTTTATTTTCTTCTCCTTCCGATCATCACCTCTTTTCTTTATCCTTTTTCTGTTTGCCACTATTGAATGCGCGCCCTCTATTATCCAGATCTGACAGGCCGCAAAAATATTCTAACGACTTATGACAAAAGTCCGGCCACAGATTGTTGGTATACTAGCTGTCGCGAATTACCTTGATGACGAGTAACTTTATTTTTGTTAAAACTACATCAGTGTTCCGCGCTAGACTGCTCAACATTAAATAACCTAAAACATTTTCAATCACATTCTTCCTCCAGACTAAATGGTATCCGCTCCGGAGAACCACTCGCCCCATGGCATGGACAACTTCGGCTTCCAGCAGGATTCCACCTGCACAAACCGCAAAAAGCTGGGCCGATCTGTCAGCGTGAACGCTGAGTCCAGTTTCCCCCTATACCGCTCGTGTAAAACGTTACCTAGATGGCGTTGCCCCAAGGACGATCCCGAGACAGTACTCGAGGAGGAGTATCCCTCCGACGATTTCGAGTACATGGAGTGTGGGCCCTCCCCGCCCGCAGATCATACGCCAAATATCTACGAGAGCTTCGAGGAGTTTTCTACCAACGCAGACCTGACGGTAAGTGTCACATTTTGGTTTTTTCTTGAGTGTAAAGTGATTGGGCGCCCTTATTATGCAGCTGCTTGACAGATTGCGAATTTTGCAAAGTTCATTCTACGAACTGATCATCAGTGGTTATCGAACCCTTTCCGGCTCATAAGCAGCATCACAGATCATTGGTACACTACAAATAATACTTCTTGACTACTCTTTGGTATCACCTGTGGCAACGCCATCTAAAGAAGGTGACAACTAAGTCACTGTAAGTGATAATTTCTGTACAGGGAGTGATACTACTCTACCGAACTTTAGCTTCCAATTACTTCTGAATTTTGAATAGTCAGAAGTTTCCAAAACAGGAGAAATGTTCTGTTAGCCCTCGATTTGGAATTTGCTCAAAAATCACAAAGATATTGTTATTTGTACGACACAAAAATGCCTGCTTTCTATTAAAATTCTACCTGATAGTGTTTCATTACTATCGACAGCTACAAAATCGTGACATTTTTGTTTTCGAAAACAACGGTTGTCCTGGTGTTTTTTGACACTTCTGACTGTCCTGGTGTTTTTTGACACTTCTGATTTCTTGCAATTAAGAACAACGCTCTTGACATTTCAAACAGTGATGTCACTACGCATTTTTAGTACAGTTAGTGGAAGACTTTCTTCAGGTGGCACCCAAAGCAGGGTACAAGGTCCTACTACTTATACCTCCTGATTAATTAATTAATATTTCACATACGTAACTTCTGTCAATCATTGTGCACGTTTTCACAATTTTCAAACCGATTCATTCAAATGACATCTAGCAGACAAGACTAAGCCAAACTTCACGTAGCTCTAGCTTAGGTGCAACATAACCACGGATTATATAAAATGCCTGTTGATACACAAATATGGAGCTAAATGTTACCTTTACACTCTGACATATTTTCTCCCCATCTTGTTTCATAAACTATCCTACAAGCTTGCAACCCACAAACACACCATATTCCTCCAAGGGTGGCATTTGTTAATTTTGCAATCGGAACTGTGAAATTGAGATTTTCTACTGAATAAGCATGATAGTTCACTAAACCCAAGTGCAGTTAAATATATCTATAAAGAATCTTTAAAAGTTACACCTCAAAGGGGCATTGAAGGTTTGTTGAAAATTTGCCATGCGGTTACATTATTACTAGGAAGAACCGGAACTAGGGCAAAACAAAACTCGTGAAAAATGCTAGTATATAAGTATATGTTAGGTTGCCTACCACCACTCTGTCGCAAATGCGGTAATTTCAGTTCAGGCTTTGGAATAAATTGTTATGGTATATTTGTTGTTGGCTACGTTGCGAAGGAGGGTCATTCTTTACTCTATTCTCACTTTGGAATGTCCAGACTTGTACTTTCGCTGAAATTTACTCATTAAAAAACGGTACACGAGCTAATTGTTGAAACTGTTGATTCATATTGCTTTTGCTGATAACTGAAGAAGATTAAAAGTTGTTAAACATTAAATTATGGGCGACTCATTTCCTACTGTGCTACTGATATTGACTCAAGGTTTATGTCTTTAAATGGATTTTTCAATCTTTGGTCGACTTGTATGCCATAACTATATTACTTCAATTCTTCATACTGGTAGGTTAATATCAGATTTCGCAAAAAGTTTACTGCTATCTCCATTGGAAATTAGCAATCTTAATAATTAAATATCCGCAAGCTCATACAAACCTATGTATTTTTTCTATTTTCAAAAACATTTTTCTAATAATTTTCAATGTACTATCCATATACTTCTTATGATAAGATGACGTTAGGCCAATAATATTGAAAACATATTGAATAATTTCCCCCATCAAATATGTGTAGATTTGAAAAATAATAGATATTTGTTTCTTGCATTAGGTGCAGATATGTCACGATACCATCAAGATGAACCTCCTGGAGCACATGAAGCTATCGTCGGGCAGGCACCATTTGCTGGACGATATAGAGAGCAAGAAAACGGTTCCGGATAACCTGGACGCAACCTTTTGTGGTGCTAGTAAACTAGAAATCAACATTTCGTTCCTGTGGGCTGCATTTATGAGGAGGTAATTATCTTATTGTCATATAGGAGGTTTAGTCACCATGTGACAAACTTCAGAGTACATTTTACCATTTTCGAGCTGTGACATCAGTGCTGAAATACCAGGCGTCACTAGAAAATGGTTCTTAACTTGTTATGTGAGTGTATTTTACTTATTACGCCACTGAGATATGTTTTTTGGATGTTATATGACTTATACATGACGAAACACCATGTCACTCATTTCCGTCGATCTGTCTATCTGTCGTCCTTGCCCCCCCCCCATAAATTTGAAAGTACTGCTCGGATTTGGATGATTTTTTAACAAAAGGTTACTACTACGCCAAGGACAAAAAGACTTTGCAGTTTTTGAAAACCGGTCCAGAGACGGCGGAGAAAAAGGCCAAAAGCGGCAATACAAAAACCGTTCAGTCGTCGTTTTTTGACTGGTAATTCTACTCACCTATTAGCCTTATTTCACGCATCATAGATCTCCCTGCGCATTTGTCTTTAAAACTTAAAATGAAAGTTTTAGATACACGTCTCCTTCTACTATCTAGGCTCAGCGCCCGACGTAGCGATGCTTGGGTGGGCGCTGCCGCGTCTGACGATATGTAAGGCATCGTTGCCATATGGTCGGTAATTACCGGTAGGCCAGGGAAATAATGTTTATGAACTAATTCCGTTTAATTGTTTTATTGATACAGGTTCGAAACTAATTCCACATGTTTTTATGAAGATGTTTGCTTAACCAGCTTGTTCTATTATTTCCATGCATACAAGTGACAAGTAATTCGTTGCTATTGTGTGTTATTTTATTTTGGAAATGTGCAGTCCAGTTCTCCATCTATATGTGCTTACAAGTTAATACTACCGATATTCTATTTGATGTTCTGAATATGTTTTCACTTTTTTACAGATGGGATCTACTAGAAGGCCTCCTGAAGCTTGACGCCAATTTGAAATACTACGAACCTACTCAAGGGTTAAGCGCACTACACTTGGCTGCCTTCAGCGGTTGTACCCAAGGAACCCAATTCCTTATTTCCCGCGGCTGTGACGTCAACGCCATTTTTAAATGCTACGCTCCTCTACATTGCGCTGCTTTCGGAGATTCTCCTGATACCGCAATCATCCTCCTAAATAATGGCGCCAAAGTACAAGCGTTGACCAACTGCCCGCACAGTTGTCACGAGAGTGTGCTTCATTGTGCTGTCAGAGCAAACGCCATCGCTTGTGTTAGGCTTTTCACGCAAGAGGGCGCTGATATCGGTCAAGCGGAATACTCTGGGATCTCTTCTATACATCTATCAGCCGATTTGGGACACGCGCAGTGTTTGAAGATCCTTCTGGAGCCGAAAACATTCAATGTCAACGCGAGGACTAAGGAGAAAGAGATGAGTCCTTTGCATCTTGCTGCAGAAAGTGGATATGTCGAATGTGTGGAGATTTTGTTGGAGCATGGAGCGGATGCTAACTTGCGCAACCACAGAGCGCAGACGCCGCTCCACCTAGCGGCCAGAGCGCAAGCTTTCGATTGCGTGGAAGCACTGTTGACTAAAGGAAATGCAAATCCTAACGTTGGGGACTGTGATAAGAGGACTCCGTTACATGCAGCTGTTGGCAAGGCAGCTAGATCGTATGATATCATAGAAATCCTTATCAACTATGGAGCAGACGTCAATGCTAGAGATCAATATGGATATACTCCATTACACATTGCGGCGTTAAACGAACTATCACAGTGCGTGGAAGTGTTGATATATCATGGTGCAGATGTTACAGCTAAGTCAAAGTTTGGAATGACTGCTTTGGGGATAATCACTAGAAAAACACCTGCTTCCCTAGCGATGGTAACGCAAAAATTGGACTCTGCTATCACTCTTCATCACCATCCAGAGTCTTCGAACAGAGAAGTCGAGTTGAGGCTAGATTTCAGGGGTATCCTTCAATATTGCCACCCAAGGGAAATCAGTTTTCTGAATAGCTTTGTTGACGAAGGGCAGAAGGAAATTTTACTGCATCCGCTGTGTTCAGCTTTCCTCTATCTAAAATGGGAGAAGATAAGGAAATACTACATAGCCAGGATGTTGTTTTGTTTCATATTCGTCTTGAGTTTATCTTTATACGTATTGACAGCGCTAGCGCATAACTGTTACAACCACGGGAAGAATATGAACGATACTCAGCCTCAGAATGTGATAGAACTGTGCGAGAAGAAATCTATGATGGGACATATGTTGAGGAACAACCCGTTTGTGATCGAAATGCAGTGGTTCGTTTTGGTGGGAATAACGTGCTGTGAAATTCTGAGGAAGGTGTATGGAATTGCTGGGTATCCTACTGTGAAACAGTATCTTTCACATCCAGAAAATATCATCGAGTGGACTGTTATAGCTAGTGTATTTGTTATATCTTTTATTTACACAGGCAGAACATACACTTGGCAGAATCATGTCGGCGCTTTTGCAGTGTTATTTGGTTGGACAAATCTGATGTTGATGATAGGCCAATTGCCCGTGTTTGGTTCTTACGTTGCTATGTACACCCGAGTTCAGGGAGAGTTTGCCAAGTTACTACTCGCGTATTCTTGTTTGCTGATAGGTTTTACGATAAGTTTTTGCGTTATCTTCCCAGATTCTGCTTCATTTGCTAATCCTTTCATAGGTTTGATCACCGTCATGGTAATGATGACAGGCGAGTTGAATCTGGATCTCTTAGTGGATGATGACCCAGAAGATCCTCCTTTTCTATTGGAGGTCAGCGCACAGGTGACGTATATCCTGTTCCTACTTTTCGTGACAGTGATTTTGATGAACCTGCTTGTTGGTATCGCCGTTCATGATATACAAGGACTTCAAAAGACGGCAGGATTATCAAAACTCGTGAGGCAGACCAAGCTGATATCCTACATGGAACTAGCGTTGTTTAACGGGTATTTGCCTCAGTACCTGTTGAATCTGTTGCATTGGACGGCGCTAGTGTCTCCCAAAGCGTACCGAGTAGTTTTGAACGTCAAACCGTTGAACCCAAGAGAAAAACGATTGCCGAGAGACATTCTAAAAGCAGCTCATGAAATAGCGAAGAAACGCAAACATTTCGGTCACACGATATCCTCGCATGGGAGTGGCTCTTATACTCGGAAAGCACAGACAAACAATAATATTGACGTGAATAGCGAAATTTTAGAATACAATACCACGCTGCCATTGTTACAGAGTAAAGTTGACAAAAGCATGGAACATATCGAACATCTGACTAAAGAGATAAGGGAATTGAAACATACGCTAGACGCGAATCAAAAAATGGTAGAGCAACTATTGAATGTTGTTCTACAGAGTAGAAGAAGTAGCAAGTGCTGATAGAATTCTGTGATCTTTTAAAGCTGTATTTATGATTATTTGTTTATAGAGATATTTTCATTTTGGCCATCTAAAACTTGAAAGTTGAGTGGTCATTTCGTTATATCCTGATTTGGGAGTATAGTGCTTTTCACGATTTTTGGCGCAAACGTCAGCAATGCCATACAAAATAACTAAGCAAATCGACTAACTGAATCATGTGCGGAGCTGACGTTTCATAGCAAAATTGCACGTTGGGCAAACCGATCTTAGAAGCAGCCGCTCATATTAATTTATTAACAAAGAACCGTTGCTTTAATTTTACTTTTTCAAAATACTCCAATTATTTTGGAAAAAACTATCGATATTGCCCGTCGTATTTTAGATCAGGTACCGCGATGCTTTGTATTACGAAAATAAATAAGAGGTAAACCAAAACGGTTTTGATTGAATCCCAAAAAACACATTTTCTCATTTTCCCACAAAAATTGCTGTACCCGTTTTGAGTCCATGTTTTAAATACCCCCTTGAACAACTTGCATCAGTGAAACCAGACTTTACAATTATTTCGGGGAAATTTTCGAGGTGGCGAGATGAATCTAAACCCTATTTCACGATGATCCATCACGTTTTGACGTCTATTGAGGTGAACAACTGATCAACAAGTAACATCTATCATTAATAATGAATCGCGTGTAAATTTCGTAGAACTTGCTTGAAGCGTTTCATTTTTGTATGCAAATGGCCTTTTCTAAATAAAAGGGTTGTTAGCAAGTACAAAATGAATTTGTAGCGTATAAAAAATCAAAACAAAATACGGCTGCGTCTACCTGGCGTTGGGTCCGTCAGAATTATGTGGCATTTGTCGATATGGGGAATTTTTAAATATTACTAGATAATCAGCTGTGGTTCTATCGTAGTGGATACTCGGCAAAACTACACTAAAGAACGCATGTGTTTTAAATGCTAATAAAAAATTGTCTTGAAGTTTCAAAACTAATTTATTGAAGCAAAAATACACACAATATAGGTGGATTTCATGTTTTCAAAATTATATTGACGAGGTACCCTCGATTTCCGTCGAACATTCCTGCAATCCCGTGTTCATCTGGTTAAAAACTGCTAAACATAATTCAGGTGTCAAGCTATCAAATTCTTGTAGTTGGGGTACCAAAGACTGCCGAAGTATTGCACAATAGCGATCACTAGTTACAGTTTGGGCTATGCCACGTTGGTTCTCAAAAAAGAACGGAGAAATAATTCCTGAAGCCAGCATTGCACACTACACAGTTACTTGTGGGCTATGTGGGGGCCTTTCTTGTTTTTGCCTTGGATTCTCTGGTGCCCAATAGCGACAATTTTGCGTATTAACTGCGCCTGAAAGGTGAAAGTACGCCTCATCACTGAACAGAATGTTGTTAATTCGGTCGTTTTCAAAAAAGAACGGTTTATCATTGTTCCGGTGAAAGAACGACGGTTTATAAAGTCATCTGGGTTTAATTCTTGCACTATTTGGATCACACCAGACCAACGCTTCAGTTTTACTAAATAATTCGCATCGATCCACTAACGAAGGACGCTACGTCGACCGCGCTATCTTACACTGTTGCCAAGTTATTCGAGTTTAAAAAGGGAAATTTATTCCTGGACACCTTGTATAAAGGCAATATTGGTAGTTTTAGTGTGATCCGCCAAAAACCCGTGAATGAAGTATGAGTTGGTATGAACATAAATTTGGACAGCTGAAAAACCTGTCGCTATATTTTTTCGAGTTAACAACTATTCAGAATACATTATTAAAATCTACAAGCTAGTATTATGTAAAAATAGAACAATACGATGTCAACTTCCGGTAGTCTGATGCTATTTCATTTCACAGTATTATATGAATTTACTAGTACAGTCTGAGAAAACCAAAAGTTTAACAGGCAACGTCAAAGGTTGCTTTCAAATAAAGTAATTTCAAAATACTCTTCAAGGTCTTGTAGAGCCAAGATTAGATTTTAATTCAGATACTTGGCGTCCTCAAAAATTATAACTTTTAATGGAGTCTTTAAGCATTGAATATCCATTTTTATAGTTTTCCAGACATTAAATCGCGTATAACGAAAAAATGGTCTACTTAACTAGTAACTTAGTAAGTAGTGATTCGTGGCGGCCTTTTTTCAGATTGGCTCAAAAAAGTTATGAAATGTGTCCGGACAAAAAGGTGTTATTTATTTAAAACAAATTTGATCTGAGATACCATGCGGTACATGCAGTGTTTAAAAAATCGCTTAAAAATTATAGTTTCTGAGGTTGCCAAGTATCCAACTTAAAAGTAAAACCTTACTCTACAATACCCAGAGGTGCATTTCAAGATTAGTTATTTTTAAAGCGATTTTTAACCTTGTTTGTTAATTGGCGAACTTCTGATTTTCACAGACTGTGCAGGATGAATTCTTTAATATCCGCTTTGACGCTACCATTGTGTTTGAAGGGATAATTTAGGAATCATAATTTCTTAGATTTTGAAAATCAGGCGATGAACATTGAAGTCGAATATTTTCGGAAAATTTGATTATTAAATAATGCACAGAAAAGTTATAGCTACATTTGGGTTTAAAAGGATTGTCCTGTACACAAGCTAGTTGTTATCTATAATACTCGATGTAGATCTTTTATAAAATATATATATTGATAGCAGGTTTACATTTTTAGAGAGACATTTTTACTTGAAAAATGCCATTTAAATATGTGATACTAGATTTAGATAAAATATGTTTTTGTTGCATAGTTTTGTTAAAGCAATAAAGATGCTTATGGAAAATAACCAGGTAGTTTTATTGATGGATAAAAATCTGACAAGGTATTACAGCATTTTTTGTGATATCAAAAATTTGTAGTTGTATGGCTTAATGAGTTCCAGATCAGATTTTTGTTTTTGTTATCCAATAATTATATGATGTGCTGTGTGAGGTGCAGGATTACAAAAAACGCTTTTACGCTCACTGCACGCGAATAATTTTTCGAAATCATCATCAAGAGCAAAGTTTTTTTTTCAATCTAATCCACTTTCTGTCAACGTCTTAAGACTTTTGTAAAACGTGATCCATATAAACCATTGTCTAGAATGTAGCAATCTATAACAAATTGATTTATTTTAGCTACTGTTTCCGTTAATTTTCACTGGGCTACAAAACAAAGTGGACGTAGAATGCAATGTAGAAGGTGGAGGGCCGTCTGGACAGTCTGGAGCCCTCAGATGGGGCATTGCATGGGGACTTAGAAGTTTCGTGGACCAAGAAATGATTGAATCTATGAGATTGGGTAAGTTGATCCTGACAGTAATTTCATTTCTTAGCATCGTCTATGAGAAATTGTCACATCAGTTTCTCTATTTACTGTATATACTGTGAAAAGGTTAGCGTCGCTTAGATGGCGCTATAGCTATATCATATGCAAACCTTTTCAAAGTATCTGTAGTAAATAGCTGCGACAACTTCTTATAGATGATGTTACGATATCTTATTCTATCTTGGACGCGGAAATATAGTTTTAGGTTAGGGATCTTCTAGTAAAGTACGTTTATAAACGTAACTTATACACTGAAAACCAAATACCACTGACGTCGAAATGTGTACGAGAAAGAAGTGCGCGATATTCGTATCGTCAGAAAGAGTGCGCCAATGGCTTCCGCGGCCTCGCGCTCGGGTTGCTAGGCAACGAGGTGCTTTTATTTCTTTCTAACGTACATATCGTACGATTATCGCGTTTCTCTCTCGTACACATTACGACGTCAGCCAAATTTGAATCTCACTGTATAGAAGACATTTACAAGTCTGTTATGATAGAATATTTAGAGAAATATAAGTTCCTTCAAAGACAGGACTAACTGATAACTTTCTCTTGTCTCTGACGATCAAATCAGCTATTAACAGGATTTTTCATATTGAAGTTGATATTAAAACTCTATCATCGCGATGGCTTCCCTATAAAAAATGAACTTGCGAGAAAATTATAATTCTTGCACATATGAAACTGTAGTACGTATAAATAGATTAAAATTGCTCTGTCAGGTTTATTTAATCTATTTACCATACTTTGGCACATCCTCGCATCTAATTAAGTGTCCCCTTGTGTTAATTTGGTACTTTGGTATTAATAATGACTAAATACTGATTAAATCTTTTAGCCGACTGATCAGTGGAATGATCTCAGATTTAAACCTGGGAACATAGTTTCACTGGATGGATTTTGTAAGAAACTGTATATTAAAAAGTATATCCATTAATTTAAGCTCATTTTCAATAATTGTCAATTCTTTAGAAAATCAGCTTTTCATGTACACAGGTTTATAATATACGACGAGCAAAAACCGATAAATCCACTTTTATGATTTTTGAGTTAGGCATGGAATTCTGTTAATTTCGATATGCTCTATCCGATTTTAAAGGAAGATATGAGCAAAAGTCGCTAAATCCTTATCAAAATAGGTACAAACTCAGTGCATTCATGCAAAATCCCATTAACAAAAAATTAATGCAAACAGCGCTAAATCCAAAGATGTTTTGTATTATTATGTCATCTGTGAATTTATTATCAATTCAACTGGTCAGGTGGCAATAATCTGCTTCTTTTTTGTCTTTAGCGTTTGTTTTTTAGTGATGTTTCCAGTTTTTTAGAATATGGTACTATCAAATAACATTTTAAAACGTTTTCACTTTGTAATTTTATAAAGAAAACAACTTTCACACAAAAAGCGATAAATCCAAAGTAATTATTTATTTAAAAAAACTGCCAGTAGTTGGTAAAGATAGTCAATACCTAATATGCTGCAGGCAGCAGCGGTGGCCGCAGTAGTAGACTCTTCGGTCTCCTGATCAGTCGCCGTGCGCTGTGCGGGTTCGAGTCCCGTCCCAGGAGAATTGTTTCTCTTGGCTATGGATGTTGTAATTGTGCGTAGGTGGTAGACGGTCTCTGACTGTCGAACGCGGAGGTACCACCCGGCGGAGCCAGAATGTGTGCATGTTGCATATTTTGTGATCAGATGTTATTTGTTATCACGCATTGACGTATCGTGAAATATAGTATACAGTAGTTATAGTACATCCTTTTTTTTACAGCTGGACTCTTAACTAGAGATTACAGAACGAGGGAAAGGAAGAAGCCTGGTCAACAAGGAGCTAGGAGGAAGTTCACGTGGAAGAAACGTTAGATTTTTAAAGTTAGTTGTTTATTGAATAAAAAATGGATTTGTTTTATATTGTGTATGTTGATAAAGACAACAAGAATCACAATAATTTCTACACACATCCCTACGTTTGACTAGCACCAAGTATCACATTGCTTGCAAGGGTTGAATACCCAGTATCTCCATGCCATTCTTCAATACCTCCCTGGCAGTGTTAAACAACAATAGTCTTTGAGATGCTACGTCTGGATTTGCACCTTTTACTTGTAATTCTTGCAGAGCCTTGTTGATTTGGTTACTAAAAATTAAAGAAATTGTCTAAGTAATAGTCGTAAATGAGACCAATATCGACTAAATTATGATATAACAGCAAATTCATAAAAGTGTTCCGAGTCATCAACATTTCGCTGTACTGCCGGAATCCCGACAAGATCTTGGAAACTAGTAATACATTTGTCTATGTTGGATGGGCCTGGGAATAGGGACATTATAAATAAAAAGAATCTACAATAGGTGCAACAGGAAATGACTTTGGTGATATTGATAGATGCTCTCTCATGGTGAGTTCAAATCTCGTAAATTTTAGATTGTACCTGAAATAGATGTTATACAGGCGTCCCTCGTTTTACGCGGGGGTAACGTTTTTTGAAAACACCGCGTATATCGAAACAAAAACATTTTATAACATAAACTTTTATTAAATACATAATATACATAGGTATGTTTGTACATATTATGTATGAGAACATTAAACGTTGATTTTTTAACAAAAGTATTAATTTTGAGAAAAATAAGACGTAATTTTTGACTATTTAGCTTCCTTGCGTAAATTCTTCTTAACTTCCTTGTATGGTGCCAATGCTGCAAAAACCTCTCGTTTAGATTTTAAACTTCTTTCCATTGTAGGATCTTCCCTGATTAACAGCTCGGTGAGATCGTGTGCCATGGTAAAACATTTATTAAGCGTTTTCAACGTCAACTCCTTTAGTGCCGGGACTAATTAATCATCTTCACCTTTTTCTTGAGCTTCATAATTGTTCTCCGTCAGTTCAATGAGTTCTCTTTCAGTGAGTTCAACATTATGCGATTGAAATAGCTGATTTATATCGTCCATATCATCGAATCCCTCTGCAGGTAATTACTTTCCTGAATCAGCAATTTCTTTGATTCCGTCTCTGATATCAGGCAGTTTCGCATGAGACTTCACAATTTCTGGCCATAAGTTTTTCCAGCAGCCATTTAATGTCGAGTTTTTAAGTTCACCAATCGATTCTTTAATTTAATTTTAAACGTGCGTCGCGTGTAATAAGCTTTGTAGATGGCAATGATTACCTGATCAAGAGGCTGTAGGATTGATGTGGTGTTTGGTGGAACAAATTCTACTCGAACATTGGGATTTATTTCCTGTAAACGGGCGGCTGGGTGACCAGGGGCATCATCTATGAGTAATAACACCTTCAATTCAAGATTTTTTTACGTCAAATAACGTTTAACCTCTGGTATAAAATAGTTCTCAAACAAGTCTAAGAAAATGTCTCCCGTTACCCATTCATGACCATTGGCACGCCAAAACACAGGCAATTTATTTTTACCTTTGTTTTTTAAAGCACGGGGATTCAATGACTTGTACACTAATAAAGGCTTAATCATACAATCTCCAGAAGCATTTGAACAAAGCAAAAGTGTGAGACGATCCTTTGCTACTTTAAAGCCCTGTGCGGTCTTCTCTTTTGATAAAAATGTACGGTTTGGCATCTTTATCCAAAACAAGCCAATTTCGTCCTCGATAAAAACCTGCTCAGGCTTAAAACCTTCTTCTTCAATGATCCTTAAAAGTTGCCCAGGATATTCCCTACTAAATCAGGTCATGCCCGATTGCCCGTTGAAACCACGCGGTGACGCGATGCATCAGAAGGCGCGCGCCGCTAAAAGGCGGGGAGCAACCGCGTATAAGTGAACCGCGTAAAATAAATCACTGGTGTCAAAAGCGCAAACGCGTATAAGCGAAACCCCGTATAAATATGCCGCGTAAAACGAGGGACGCCTGTACTACTCACCAAAGGTGAAACAGGTAGTTCACCAAAATGTATGCTTCCAACTGCACATTTGCCTTGTATAAAACGTCGTGAAACTTAGCCAAAGCTTTCAGCAACAGTAATGCTTCAGGGTGGTCAAATATCTCTGGAATGCATTGCTTTGCAGCTATCACACCAGAATTCTTTTCAAGACTGTGTAACCTACAGTGTGTATATTGGAGCCTTATTCCTGTATCACCTTGAACCTAGGAGAAAATAAGATACATAATGTTTTATTACTTTCTGAATTCAGTAAGTTACTCAAGCAACTGTTTTAAGTTACTTAGAACTTAGAGGCTACGTGATTTATAATTATTATAAATACCTGAAGAACTGTGTCCCAGTTGAACTCATAATCTTTTTGTCTCCTCCTTTTCAATTCATTAACAATTACACAGGACACTCCCAGGATGTCTGCTATTTCACCATCATTGATAGGCACTTTGGTAGCTAAAACAAGATAGAAATAGTTAAATTATTAGAACAGCCATGAATGAATCGTGTAATTAGAGGCATTCCGGCAACCATAAGGAGCCAGTGCATAGGCCGCTTAAACAGGCCCTTATGCACCTCTACATTCTGTAGATCACAAGCCTCGCCCATTTAGCGAAGTTGAGAATCGCCTTGAGTCCAAGCTCCTTGACGTCTTGAGGGTCCAAAGTAATGGACCCCAGTATAGTCTGCCTATAGTAGCTCAGAGCTTCACAGCGACACAAACCGTGCGCCGAGCTACCCCGCAGCGCTCACACAACGGAACCTCAGCCACCTCCATCACGTGCAGGTGGCGCCTTAACGTGTTATGGCCAGACAACAGCAACCTTAGGTAGAACACCCATAGAATGCAATTTCTTTTATATATAATTTACTATAGCGAGAACTATAACAGTCAAGTATACGGGGTGTCCCAGAAGTCGACTTTAAGCGGGAAACGGGGGCTGGGTCAAGTCATAAAAGATTAAAAAAATCCAAGTTGTGTGTTTTACAGATTCGAGCAAATCTATACCCTGTGATGATCTTTTAGTTCGCATTACTAAAAATTTCAATTGCACATGGTGAAGCAATAATTTTCTTTCCTTACGAGGACGTCGTACTACAAGCAGTCGAAGAAGGCCCGAGTACTTCAGTACGTGAAATAGAAGCACGGGAGTGAGCTCTACCTGTACCACGTACAGCTAGTACAATATGTACAACCCTGGAATTATCTTCCATGAGTTGAATTTTGTCAAACAGCGTTACAGAGACACCAGGAAGATCTGCGATTTTTTGAGATAACTTTATGGACTGGAATTCACATTTGATGAGGCAAGATAGACCATAGTATTGTTTTAAAGTAAACATGTGGACCAGGATTCTAAATTGGAGAATCATTGTACCCTTTGAGCTGAATGGCGAATTTTATTTGGACTTTCTACAAAATCATTTACCAAATTTATTGAAAGAGGTGCCACTAAGCATTTACAGAGACATGTGGTACGAGCAAGACGGCTGCCCAGCTATGCCCATTCAATTAGAGAATATCTTGATGCGGAATACCCGAGCATATGGATAGAGCGGTCTGGTACAATTTTGTGGCCAGCTGTTTACTGGGTCATGGTCAAGGCCAATCGAAAATTTAGCTTAGCTACGGGACAATAACGGAAGCAGCTGAATTTGTTAATAACAGAAGATTCGCCCATCTGATAACCTGATGATTTTTAAGATGTCAAGCTTTCATTGCTCCTGAACGAAGGCAGTTTGAACACTTATTGTGAATTTAATAATAAATGCTTTCACGATTTAATAAAAGTGGCATTCCCATCTGTCTTGCTGTCACTTTGTAGAATGACACCATCCATCTAAGAAAAATTGAAATTTGTAGTAATGGGACCTGAAAGATCATCACAAGGGGGTTTAGAGTTTGTCAATTTTTTTTTTAAGCCTATAATTTGAAAAGACTTGGATTTTTTTTTCATTTCTTCTGATAACTATTATGACTTGGCCTATCCCAGTTTCCAGTGTGACATTGACTTCTGGGACACTGTATAAAAACATAAATGGTCAATGATGCAGAATTGATTGATATTCTATAATTTTAGTGCCTAAATTAATAATAATAATCCTAGCTTTTGAGATATTAGTCAATTTTAAGTCAGTAGTTTACTTGTGAGGTTTTTTGCAGTTTTATAGTGGGTTATATCTTCAAACATATTCACATAAAATATATACCTACTAGGTGACTCAACTTGTCGCTTGATCATTATATCTCTGCATTCGTCTAGGATGTCTTTGAGGAAGACAGATGTTCCTTTCCTCGTACTCATTCCCTTAATTCTGCCAAACTTAATGTGGGCCAATCTGCCTGCCCAAGGTAGATCCATTTTATACAGAATATCTTTAAGGACATAAAAATGATCACTTTGGCTGTTATCAACTACATAATACATTTTATCAAAACTATATTTTTTGAACCTGTCTATTGCTGCAGCTATGTCTCTAGTTAAATATAATGTCGAACCATCACTTTTCACAACTGGTACCTTTTTCTCATTTATTGAAGCTACTTCTTTCCCATCATTATCTTTGTGAATTATGTTCTTTACTCTCATAGTTTCAACAATGTCTTCAATATTCTTTGCACAGTAATCTGATTCATAACTATAATCATCAAATATTATCCCTAGCCTATTGTAAGTATTTATCAATTCCTTTTTAGAATAATCCATATAGACTTTCCAATCATTTATATCGTTAACTGAACCAGTTTCAAGTTTTAAAAATTCCTGCTTTGCTCTATCATGAACAGCGGGATCTTGTTCAGCTAGTTTGTTAGCATGTACATATGATTTGTAAAGAAGCTTTAAAGGGTCTTTTTGAATATCCTCTAAGGTGTACTTCAGTTCTTCAATACCAACTTTTATAAAGCCAAACTGAGTTCCCCAGTTTCCCAAATAATTTAACCTTACTACTTTGTGTCTTAAGAAACTATTGAGGTTGCTCACAAAGTTTCCTATGATAGTAGACCTGAGGTGTCCTAAGTGAAATGGTTTGGCAATATTTGGTGAACTGAAGTCAACAACAATGTTCTTTGGGCTGAAGTTTAAGTCAGGAAATGCACAGTTTTCAATCACGTCTTTCACAAATATATTTTTGTCTATTTCAAATGAGATTCGCCTGTTTGCGCGATCCCTTACAAGGTGGATGTTTTTGATGATATCATCTGGTTGGATTTTTAAGACTTCTGTTATGTTTGTCACACCTAGTAACCGTTCCAAATCGTTCAAAGGCAAGCTCATAGCAACTTTGGTTTCATCTGCATTGCCTACTTGAATGAGCGGTTGCAACTCTGCTAAGGAAAATTTCGTGTATTTGTGCAAGCAATCGATCACTTTTCTTCCTAGGTACAATTTTAGTTTCGTTGACATCGTGCGAGTGGAAATGTTAAGTGAATTCCATAGAAAAACAGAGAATTTTCAAATTTTATACATGATAAGGATGAAAAGTAGGGTTATATTTACATTTTTTGACGCATGTCAGTGCTATTAGCACAGAACATAGTTGTAGCAAGTGATAAAGTGTGTTGATATGTGCGAGTATACCGGAGTACCATTTCTCTCCCAGCTAATCGCCAGGCTAGCGAATAATCATAAATCAAATTCAAGCGAATAACCAAATGAAAATGGTATTTACCATTTTAGATTGGTATTTACCCATCCGTTCAAGCGTACGTGGTTATCAGATCCCTGACGTCATGAATCAGCTGTTATATGTCATGGTTAGTATTGGATATTGGATATTTTTGTTGTACTTCAGCTTCATTTTTGGGAAACTTGATACAGGCTGACTTCAGTTGCAGAATAAAGTAGAGTACCTTATTAGTTATACTAATTACTGTTGTTGGGGACACTTTAAATCTAGTTCCTAGGCTTAACAAAGTATCCTACGTATCCATATACCACAAGAATATTAAAATATGGCCATATAAAGTCATTGGATCCACCTGTATACGGTATTGCTAATATCTTTTATCATCGCTTTTTCTTATCATTGCTAAATCAAGAAATGTTTTCGTTGACGTGCGGAAAAGTTTAGAGAATAGAAATTTATCATAGCTACAAAATCATGGTTCCATCATTAAAAATTATTTTCTGAAAAAAAAAACATTTCTCATTATGAAAGGCTTCTTTCTGGACCGACGCCATCAAGCCGTCTGTCATCTTAAACCATATTATAACCGCGGTACATAACACAGAAATTTTGGTTATTCAGTTGGATTTGATTATAGTCGTTTTAATTAATTGGTTGAACTGCTGATAGCGGACTGATTATAAAAAATCAATGCCGCATTTATGAAGTATGTTTTAAGTTCGTGTTGACGGTTACAGGGCTCTTGTATTAGTTGGGTTAAAGATATCTAATAGTGTCTGCGGTTTGCAATCACTCAACAGTTTGAATAGCAGTCCAGTTCTATAAAACGCGGGGTGTGGAGGGGGAAAATCAGGTGACTTTTGACGTGATGACGCCACCGGCTGTCAGGATAGCAGCAACACTACAGAGAAGTGTCAAAATTCTTTGTCGTTTCCGTTTCCAATCTTTCAGTTTCAGTGCGGGTCCATCAGTGGTTTTGTGTAACTTGACTCGGGAGGGAGGTTTTTGTGTAGTGAATTGTGGAGTTTCGGTGATAATACTATCAACAGGTGCAATATGGCTAGCAGACTTGCTGGACAGACTATAAATGATCGACTTTTGGCCGCCAGACACAGCCTTGCAGGACAAGGTTTGGCCAAGTCGGTCTGCAAGGCTACCACCGAAGAAATGATTGGCCCCAAAAAGAAACATTTAGATTGTAAGTGTTCATTACTTTTCTGTTAATGAAAACCGCAATATTCTAATTGCAAAATCATTTTTGTTACTCATCTGAATTGTCTGTCTACATACGTATTTTTTGTTTCTATATATATTTTTACCGTGTTTTTGATATGTTGTAACCTCTGATAACACCTGGTTTTCGATACTCGTGCGTCATTTAATTATTTTTTGGTGTATACACTGAGGTGATAACGCAGATAAGAATCTCTTTGTATTTTTGATACCTACCAGTGAAAATTAATCGCCTCGCAAAAAACGAGTATCTCTTCTAACTAAGCGAAGCGACTCTACCTGTTGAGTTGAAATATATTTTTTACTTTGACCGTTGCTTTGTGTCCAGTGTCCACGATGGAAATATCTACCCTGAATATTTGTCATGAGGATTTTTTAGGAACTATATTTAACTAATCATAGTTCTTCATATTTGTTTTTTTTATCCTTATTACTTCCGTAGCTCGATGTTTACAAAGAGGTAACGGTTCTGTCCGTTTTTTTAATGCTAAAGTAACTTGGTACAATTTTCATTTTGTGAACCTGTCATAATCCCAAAATGTGAAAACCATGTTTTGCACACTTGTTTTTGTTATGGCACATTTGTTTATTATTAAAGTAACTGATTGTTGAGCCTGTGCTCAGAACAGTTCCATCCCTGCTTCTTGAAGATATTTTGTATTTTGCTCATCTGAGAAGATTGGAATATATAGGATGTTATTTAATGATATGCCATAATTACAAGGATGCATCCCTGAACCAAGTTCAACTAGAAGAGTTCATATAAAGTGATTCCTAAAGTCTGGTTTTCAAGATACAGGGTGTTAAATATTTAAAAAAATGGTTTTTGACAGAAGAAAAAAATAATAGCAAACTGTCACAGAAAATGAAAGATTAAATTCAGAACATTACATTCCTTAGCACATATTTTGATAATATTTTGATATGTAATGAAGTTGTTTTTTTTCTTGAAAATGAAGTAACATATGAAGAGAAAAAATTTGTTGCTTATATTTTTTTGTCAAAATAATTCGTGAGATTCGTGATTTTATTTCTGAAACTGTACACTGTATCTTGAAAACCAGACTTTTTAGGACACATGTTTATATGAACTTCTCTACTTCAATTTGGCTCAGAAATGCATCCTTGAAATTATGGCTTATGATTAAGTAACACCCTGTATAATGTCCAAAATTGTGAAATCAAACTATATTATTAATCAGTTAACAGTATCTCAGTTCAGTTTTCATTGTCAACTAAGAAAAAGAGCTTATTTCGTTTCCATATGTCACATCATCATTCAGGATCAGATAATATTTTGATTGTGACGGATTTTATGGGTACCAGGGGAAAATGTGTGGCCAGGGGGCTTACATTTGAACTGTGAAAACGATACTTTAAACCATTAAAGCGAATATATTAGGTAAATGGATCTAGAAGTCATTTGAAAAATCTAACTTACATAATGCTTCTTAGTTGAAAAGTAAATCATCATATTCCAGTCACTTTTACCTTCTCACCTCATTTCTTAAAGCATCATCCATTACATAAGAAATTAACATCAATCATGTATATTCACAAGGGTTTTTACATTATTTTATAGTTCAGTGAAATTAAAATCATTCTAGAATGTTAAACTGATAATCCTCTGTAAATAAAAATCATTTAAAGTTGTGAAGGCATGGTGATATGAGCTGTTTTTTATGTATTTTCCATGAAAGCCGTTATATAAGGCAATTTCAGAAGTAGAGTCTCCTTTTTACTTCCCACGCCTACTGGCGGGGAAGTACTGTATAGCGGAAATTTTTGAAATTGAGATATTTTGTTTTTGGTATGTTATATGACATGTACATCACGAAACACTGTCACTCATTTCTATCAGTCTGTTTTGTCGGTCTGTCAACCAATCTTATAGCTTGGGAAGTAATACTTGGAGTTCGATGCATTTTTTACTCAATGTTACTACTATGCCAAGGACGGCACAAGCTTTGCAGTTTCAGTTTTTGAAAATCTGCCCAGTGGCGGCAGAGAAAGCGGCCAAGAATGACAAAGAATAAAAATCGCACAAATTTTGCTTTTTGACGTTCCAGTGCATCCTGATCATTTTGAAGAAAAATTAGAGGTTCAGAAACACGGGAGTGGGGGTTTTTGGGTGTGGGTAGAGTTTATCTAAATTATTTGATGTTAGTATATTTATACGCTCCCACCCTTGGTCATTTTACGCACATATTTCACACATCATAGATTTCCCCTTAAAACATTAATATATTTCGCTGCCAAAGTCGTTCAATAAAGAGGGATTTTGAACATATGTGGTTTTGATTCAGCCAGACAAGCATGGGGGATTATCAACATGAAAACCACGGGATTAAATTACAGATGTTACATTGTTTTTTATATCTTTAATTTTTTCTTTTCAAATCATCGTCATAGTAAAAGTGAAAATACAATTTGGATAATAACGGAATTTGTTGGTTGAAGGTTTTTGAGATTATTTTTCCTGCAGTAAATCTGAGCCACTAAGAACTGCTAAGACGAGCGGCTGCGGGGCCACTTACGTAACTATTCGACCTTTCTCACTTTTTTTTGCATTTTTGTGTGACCTTTGTAGAGATAAAATGCTCTTGATGCTAACTGGTAACTGTCTGTTTTTTCATGAATCTAGGTTTTCCGTGTGTAGGTTATCAAGAAAATTTTGTAATTTTTAAACAGTATGTCAATGTAACTTGTCACCAGATTCATTGGCTAAAGTTATAGTCTGCCTAATTTACGTTATTTAACACAGCAGGGACGATTTGTGGTACATGCCAGGTCTGTCACACTGAACATGAAACCGTCTATCCTAGATATTGGCAAAATGAAAACACATCAAGATGCTTCCAGGTTAAGAGAATTAAAAAAACTCTGGCTGGCAGGTAAAGGATACTGACCGTTATGCGTAATCGCCTTGGTAAATACCAAGTTTGCTGTATAAGCGTGCGGGATTATTAACCGTGTGACTCATTATTTGTACAACCCACCCAATAATAGTGCAGTCATCTTAGCAATACAGTGCTCTTAAAAAATGTACCCCTTTCTTATTTTGTGAACGCAACAAGTTAGCAAGCCGAATTTCATGGAGGTGAAATCAATCCACGAAACTGTATTTTATTGTTCATTTGAAGATAGTTGGTGGGGCCATCTTAGAACTTTTTTTAAACGCAATACCTTTATATTTACTCATGGGCTTAGAGTACCTCGGCAGGTAGATATAGCTGGCCTCCGTGGCTACCTCGGTGAATACCTCGTCAACACGAGGTCTTCTGACCAAAGCCACAAACGAGCCTGCAGGCTTTTGTTGGTGGTTGTTTCTCGTCGTATTTTCCTTTCCAGTGTTGTTTTTCTCCAAGATACATCCGTATACAGATGTGATGGACATATGTTTTCACTTTGGTGTTTTCGATTCATTTGGGTCTGATGAAACCAATAAGCAGAAAAGTACCTCGCTCTGGTTACCAAACCTTCTATTTCTGAGCCCGTTCCTTTATTGCATAAATGTTAAAATTTGTCGGTTTAGTGAAGTGATTATTGCACATTTCGATAGACTGTTACAAAAGAAGATTGATTCTCACCAGGATTAAAAGTTATAGCATTTTGATGATTAGATGCTATACTTGCCACTAAATGTACAAAC